TTTCTTCTAAAATATAAAACTACTATTTATGTTAAATAAACTAATATATGCACTAATTATTTAATAGAAAACTCATGAAACACACAAATATGAAAATATTCACACTTGAACTTGCTTACTATAATTTTAAAGACAATATACTAACATCTCTAAGTATTTTATAAATATTTAAAAATAAATATTATTTATTTAAAATAATTGTTAAGATCGAAAATATTAATTTTAGAAGGTTTAAATATATTTTAGTCCCTATAAGATAGGTGATTTTGATTTTGATCTTTGTAAATTTTTTTCTTTATTTTTCATCCCTGTAAGATTTATAAAGATTGTTTCGTATTTGTAAAATGAGTAAAATATTTTTCTTTGATTTTCATCCCTCTAAAATATAAATTCACTAGTTTGATTATTTTAAGGTAGATAAATAATATTTATTTTAAAAAACTAAAAAAAATTAGAGGTGTTAAATATCATAATAGTACGTAATTATTGTAGGTGACACCTAAGATAATTATTTATCTTTTTTTAAAAAAAAAATAAAAAGTAGTTAAAAATGATTACATTAAAAATAAGAATTAAAAATAAAAATTCCAATTTTAGAAAATGAAAATAAGAATTAAAAATAAGAATTAATAATAAAATTTCCGACGAATAATCCATCAGAAATTTTCTGTAAGAAATTTCTGACGGATTTATATTTCCATCTGAAATTTCTGACAAAAAAATAAAATTATCAAAAATTTTCGACGGAAATATCCGTAAAAAATTTTCCAACGGATTCATATACGTCGGAAATTTTTCATCAGAAATTTGCGTTTTTCTTGTAGTGAATAGCTAGTACTAGGATAGAAACAATAATCAACATAGGTTAGATTGATTTCTCAAATTTTGCCACTTAAAATAAAAAGTATGACACTATGTCAAGGTAGAACAATTTGGATATGGGTTTACCACGATATTAGCCTGCAACATTAAGCCACCTGTGGGATTAGTCCATTAACTGTCCTCCAAATACAACCCTCCAATACTAGGTTAAAGACTAAATCCTCGACCTAATACTTTACTTGATTGGTCACTTTATACACATGTGTCTCGACCTTGCCCACACATAAATACCATATAAAACCTAGAGGGGACAATTGACAAACAACTTATCCATTCAGAGGTCAACTTTCCTATTGAAGGGTTTCAACCAGGTTCTTAGAGCATTATAATGTATATCCACACAATGGGATATTCTAATTTTGAAAATAATTTACTCCCCTCTAGTTTTCATGTTTCGTAACTAAAACATGTATCTAGCCTACATGCCTATAGCTTAACAACTTAACAATTTTAGTAGCATGCAAATTATATCATGTTCAACTTTCAACTTTACAACATATTAACTTGAACAACCTAAACATTATACAACTTTACAACATTTACAACTTGGTAGAACAACATCGAGAATCAACTTAAGCAACTTAAAACAGCACACAACTTTACAATGTATTCAACTTACAACATATTAACAGATATATATCATCTTACAACATCACTTATTATTGGAGAAAAGATACACACTAGAAAAAGGGGGTTGAATAGTGTATATCAAAAACTCGCACTTTTTGAAATGTAGTGAAGTAGTAAAAACTTTGACAAACGAAGTGCTAGAACGTAACAGACGAATGAACACA